AGAATTTTTGTTCCCCCTCTCCGTTATTCTTTAAACTCGACGCTAATACAAGCAAACACTTCAATTCTAGAAGTTGTATGATAATGATGTGCAAAGATCAGTAACCTTAAAGAAAAGAAAGTCAGTATTCAGTCGACAACTATCATTTTACAGCGAAACTTAAACATCAAACACATCAACTAAAAATCTAATAGACACGTTTTCCTTTGTATTATCTTTTTTTCTTTATTATGGGTGTTAGACACACGAAGATCAGTTTCTTCACCGTAATTTTAAGTATACGCATCTTCAGACATTTCTATATGACGTACACATATATTCATATATATAAGAAAAAACAAGAAAAAAGAGAAAATAATAAACAGCACTGGAAAAAATAAGTTATTTCTTCAGCTTTTTCCAGTTATTCAAAAGTCAATAGAATAAATGATAAAAAACTAAATATAACGTTAGCTTTGATCAGCAAAAAACTTGAGGTTGAATAGCAAGAGAAAATAAAAGGAGGTGCCGGACAAACAACACCTGTACAATCAAATCAAAAAAGAGTCTCATGTATATAGTCAAACTAAAATGTTTGTTCTATCAAAATGAGGAAACCATTTAATCAATTTACATAAGTCTAAATTAAACATGTTTCAAAAAATTGAAATAAAGTTAACAAATGAAAAGAAAAACCAAATCTAACGATGATTATGTGCATGACTGTTGTGTCGTCTATTATTCAAATAATTTTCATCACGAAAAGAAGAGTAGCTGCCACGTTGATTTTTCGAACTATGAGAAAAACTACTACTATCTTTTAAATGAGATTGTTGTCGTTGATGATAGGGATGATAGGAACGATTATCACGTCTTGACTGTCTCAGTGACGAATGTCTTGATTCATCATTGTTATCTTGTGACAATTTGTAATTGGTGATAGCTGAAGGATTTGATAATAAAACTTGCTGATGTTGAATATGTGACGGCATTACATCAGAAAAATTGGCTTGATGACCCTTGACATTAAAATCAAAGTCGTTAGCAGGTGGTAGCCTGAATGGAGAACCCATTAGAGACAGAGATTGATGCTGTTGTAGATGACCTATTTGAGGTGAATTCATATCCGCATATGAATTGTTCGGATTACTGATGTTATTGCTGTTATTAGCATTAGTGCGTGGATTTAAACGTAGTTCACGTTTAAATAAATGGATGTTTTCCATAATAGCTTCGGCATATGGTACAGATTCTTCGTGTTTGAATGTAATAAATGCAAAAGCTTTCCTGCCGTCACGTTTTAATCTTACCTCTTCTAATGGTCCACTCTGCAATGAGAAGAAAGAAAACAAACTACATCGAGAAAAAAAATCGACTAATTACTTGAAGAAATAATTCAAATAATAGTTCTTCGGTAACATTCTCATGTAAATTTCCACAGTAGAGTGTACGACGATCTTTTATATTATCTTTTTGTGCGTAATATGAAGACATTTTGTGTTGTACGAATAGTAATACGCACAACTGTTTCTCTAAAACACAGAAAACGTATACTTCTTCTTCAAGACAACATGCTAATACATGTTAATGGAAGACGTTCAATAGATGTTGACACTCAATTTTTCAATAAAATAAGTTTTTCCAAAAGAAAACTTCATACATGACAGATATTGATGACAACATTTGAAACCATCGTATTCCACAATTTGAACATATTCAAACTAGCTTAGTATGAGTAGTACAAGCTATAAAGAAAAAATTGACTTCTTCACTAGCAAAATATGAATAATTATGTGCTAAAATATTGTGTTCGAAATACATGAAGATATTTTGACAGTTTTCTCGTTTTTTATTTATTTTTCTCAAGTGACATGGACATTGGGCCAGCCATGTTAATAAGTGTAGTCATCTATCGTGATTGGACATATAACCTTTATCATGTTTACACATTCTAATTTGGCATCGTCGTGGAGGTAGTATGTTATTTTCGATTCGATGGTGGTAATGGTGAATCAGATTAGGGAGCAGTAATAGCACGTGAATTTATTATTAACAAATGATGGTTGTCTGCTTTTAGCCACCACTAATAGCAGTTATTTGTGAGAAAAAGCAGACAACGGAAATGCAAAAACATATAACAGAGCGATAGATACATCTAATTGACTATATAGACATTGGTTAAATTTTTATTCAACGAAACAAGAGAAAAAAAGAAAAAAAATATTATCATTGGCGACCATTTTTGGCAGCTGTTATTGCCAGGTAACTTCTACCTACCTTATTAATACTTGTTCAGCGTCATACCTTCGAGAATGCACTAAGCTAGTAATTGTTCTGTTCCACTGGGGCTTACACTTCTTTTCTTCGTGAATCAGAAATGAATGTGCACTGTGAGTTTGGAGTTTCAGTACAGTAGCTGACATATTCCTTGTCGTATTTTTTCTCTTCTATTCACATAACATTCACTCATCATGCTTATGTAAGAAAGAACAAAATAATTTATTTTAAAATTTTGGAATAGTTTTTGATGATGTAGTATTACTCAGGTGAAACACGCTCTATTAGATTTAAGTAGATTTGCTGTTGTTTTTTTTTATGAATTATTGTAAACAGTATTTTTTTATATGATTTTATGTGATTATATCATACGATTATATAAGATTATACTAGTTTCTGTAACTTTTGCAGGATCTTACAAACTCCCGTTTCGTGAATAAATACTACTACTACTAGTACAAGATGTCATAAGATCGATGACTCATCGTATTGCGTAAATATTGCTACGATATATAGTATATATAAACTAACGATTGATGGATAGTGTTTTCAATTTCTTTTCTTCAACATTACGCATAAGTTAAGCGCATGATGCAGGATGATGACTAAACGCTGTTCTAGGACGTTGAAATCCTACTGATCCTACTTATGTGGGAAATATCTCAAAAGAAAGTTTGATTGTTTAGATGAACTCTTACAGAATTATTACTCTTATGACGTTTTGTACGATTCTGTGACTTTTAGAAATATCACCTTGTGAATCCTAGAAATTATTTCAGAAAAAATTCATCAACTTGGGAATTTAACTGCTGATATTTCGTTCTTTTGAGTACTTGTTGTTTTTAGAATTTTTGAATTCCTTATAATTTGTCATTGTTTTTTTCATATCACGCTACATTTGCTAAAAATTGGTTAAGTAATTAGAAAACAAAGCCTTTTTTGAAAGCATGAGTTAACAACATTATTCATCCGCTTTACGTGTTCGAAAGCATTTTAACTAATTAAGTGTTCTAATGTTTCCTAGCGATGTTTGACTGGTTAACTCTAACAACTTTTTGTTTGGATCCTATCATTTAATGTTAATCCGATTGATGATGGCTAACTTTTTACATTTATTACTGATATTCTTTGACATTGTTAATGATTATTCTACTAATGCCACATAGATCGGTATATCTTCTTGATGATGTGTAGGAACTTTTACGACTGAGAGATTTTTATTATTTAAGATCTGAATAAAAAACAGTTGTTCCTTATGTAGTACAATAAAATCCTACATTTCAACAGTGAACAACAGCACAACAAATCGTTAATAGAAGCTAATCTTCAAGAGACGTTCTTGTCAATAGAAAAAGAAAAAATTAAAGAACCGTATCCATGTTCAACTGAATAAAAGACTAGTGGAAGCGATTCAAACTTGTTTTTTTATTTTGTTTTGGTCAGAGTCCATATTTTCACTATATATACGTACATTTCTTTTCTATTGAAAAGAAAAAGTTTATAAGATAAATTTTTCTCGCTATTTAGAGGAATAAATTTTAATTATTGTATTATCCGTTAAGTATGATAAAAAAATAATCTAGAGTTAGAACGCGATTCATGTTTATGAGACTGTTTGCTAGATATCGTTGTTCAACCTAATGATAAAGTATGTGTCTATTTTTACTAAGAGATATAAACTAGAATTTTAATTTTTAGTGTTGAACAAAAACTTTACCGTCTGTTTCCAAACTGAATTTTGTATGTATCAAATCAGAAAAAATTTTAAATACAGAAGCAATGAAAACTTGTTTCATATCGATTACTCTCGTTGAGTTGAAGTCATATTAGCAGTCAGGTATGTTTGATCTCATCTAGCTTATTTTCATGTATAGTTATTATTAATCAAATTCAAATATTAGATCTAATGTAGTTATCTTTCAATGGCAAGTTTGCCATTGTATGAAAGTATGAAACAATTTTTTTGATGTCCAGAGTATGAAGAGTATTAATGTAAGAACACGTTCACCGTGAAACAGTTTTCTGGAAAACTATTCATAATAAACAGGTTAAAACAATAACTCCGTTTTAAAATTCGCAAGCAATTTAGATTAGTTTTGAGTAAAACATTTTCTTTTAGTCTCCCAGGTAAATTCTGACATCCTAGAGTTTTCAAGAAAAGTGATATGATGCTATTTGATGGGAATGATGATGGAAAAAAAAGAATCTTAGATTTTTATAGATTTGTATCAGAGATCGGCACGGGTCGATCTCTTACTGGTCCGGTGCTACCAGAAGCTCGACCCGTGCCGATATTTCACATGTCACCGTCCGAAAATTTCTGACCCGGCTCTTGTCGATCTCTGATCTGTATAGTAGATGTCACTCGGCTCAGATAGTGTATTGGAGTTAAAAAGCTATTGTACTTTTGAATAACGATAATCTTGTTTATGTAAGGTTCATGAAATACACCATAGCAAATCGCATATTGGAACATAATTTTATCGTTAGCCGATGTTCCCAAGTGTCCTCTGTTAGATAACAAAAATATTTATCTCTTGTCATTAAAATATTATTCTAAAGAAATCATCCATGTGTACTATATTTTGAATTTGGAATAGTGGTGAAAAACATTAAAACGGAATCGGCCACTAATGAAATTGAACAAGATATAAAAATGGAATTTGAGACTAACAATATTTTTCAAGAATATTTTAGTTAGGAGACGACTAATACATTTTCTGTTATTTTTTTCTCATGTGTGTATGTATTTAAGTGTATGTTGTGATCTGGCTAAAAGACAACATTTACTTTTAATAAAAAAATTGTCTTTTTCATACTATCTATCCTATGTTTTATTTTAATCGATGACTATTTTTTAAGATGCTAGTTGTTACACCTGTATGAAAGAAAATAGATAAAAAAACTTTTTTTTGTGTGTAAATATAGCGATTATCAATAAGGACAATTAATCTTATGAATGATTTCAATGTTTTACGAAAAAAGAGAATAGTTAATTATTTTTTAGCAAACAAAATGGTTCTAAGACAGCTATGACAAACATCTGAAGTTTCTCTAAAAATTGTATATACTCAAAAGCTCTAGAATGTTTCATTTCGTATAAATGTCTCCTGCATCTAGAAATAAAACACTGAAATTGTTATTTTCTCAGTCCAAGAACTTATGTCATTTTTCATTTCTATTTTCAGATTTTTCTCAGTATACTTAAAAGATGAGTTTATGAATCAACAATATCGATATTTCTCTTGATTATTAATGTATATATCATATGAATAAAATAGCACCATGCCCTATTCACTTTTATTTCGTTCATTTCAAAGAATTTATTCATCTCTTCCAAGAACAATTATCAAACGTACTATTTCCTATGATAACTGTCGACTATTTCAACAGAACAAATTAATTTTATCAACATTAAGTAAAAAATATTTGTCCACGAGTAATGACGATAAATTTGTTAAACTTTTTGTTACCGATCGTCATGGTGAAACACATGAAGCTAAAGCAAAAATTGGTACCAATATGTTAGATGTTATTATTGATAATAAAATTGATATTGATGGTTTTGGTGCTTGTGAAGCAACTCTTTCGTGTAGTACATGTCACGTAATTTTATCAAAAGAAAGTTATGAATCTTTACCAGAACCAGTGGATGAAGAAAATGATATGTTAGATTTGGCATTCGGTTTAACACCAACATCTAGACTGGCATGTCAAATTATTGTCGGAAATCAAATGGAAAATTGGACATTTGTTGTTCCAAAAGATGTTCATGATGCACGTCAAGATATTTAATACTCTAGTTGTACTAGTCGTCTAGATACAATACGTGGCAAATGATTGAGTGCATCTTTTTTTTAGTGTGGTTAATAATACTGTGTGAAAAATGTATCTAGGAAATTTTTATCTTATTTGATTCAACTGAGCTTTGAAGTAATCATATACATTATCATAGATAACTTTCTTATTTTACCAACTATTCATTGTCACATTACTTGGTAGTATTTAAAACAAGAATGAAGTAGGATAAACAATGAACTGATAGAGATTAAGCTAAATTAACGATGACTTTCGTTTCCTTGTTTTTGTTTTTTTGTCTTTTTTTTTTTTGTTAAACTTTGAGATATATTTTTCGTTTGCTTATTGTTCATATCTCATGGATAACTGTCTTTCACAGAAAATTAGTTTTTTAATATCTTTACTAGATAAATTATTCTTTTTTCCCGTACGTGTGTATCTCGTGGTTATTTGATTTTTCTCTCTCTTGTTGTGATAAGTTTCTTTTTAACAATTTTTTTTAAAATAAATTATTTAAAAGATATTTTACTGATATTAAAGAAGTGAAATTATGTTTGAGAACGATTGTTTTCTGTAACAGACTGGCTTTTTATTTTAGATGAACATATGGGTAATCAGTTAGTTGCAGATGCCCCAAATCAAATATTAAGTGTTGAAACATATTTTAATGAATTAAGTGGATATGATTTTGTAAAAAGGTTTGTATTTAAATAGTATGGTATATGTAATTAAAAGTTATTTCTATCATTTTAGTTTGGGTGTAACAAGATTTTTAAAAGTTGCCAAAGCTAAAACAAGGTATCATTATTGAAAATGATAGAAAACATAAAAATATAGTGTATATTTCATTTTAGAAATGGTTATTCGGTTCTGAAAATATTTCAAGTATTTGATCAATCTTTACCTTATGATCAATACAAAGGACAAATACAATGTAAAAATGAAAATTTTGTATTTTATAATCTATTTATTTATTCAATATTCTTCATTTTAATTTAGCTATACATTCAGCATTACATCAAAAAGAAACTCCATCTGCTTTAAAAAATGCGTTACCATTTCAAGTTGTGACGGTATATAATAAATGTCAAATTTTTATATTATTCTATTTATTCATTGTTTTTCTCTTGTTAATAGAAGAATGAACGTTCAATTATTCTCACACGACCGTATATCAAAGATAATTTATATGATCGTTTACAAAATCGTCCATATTTGACTCGTATAGAAAAAAAATGGATTGCATTTCAATTATTACAAGCATTAAAACAAATTCATTTATTAAATATTCGTCATGGCGATATTAAATATGAAAATATTTTATTAACAAGTTATAATTGGGTATTATTGAGTGATTTTGCCAATTTTAAACCAACATTTTTTGCTTATGTACGTAATATTAAATCTATTGAGAAAATATTTTGTTAATCGTTGTTTCTCTCATTATAGGAGGATCCAGCTGAATATTATTATTATTTTAATGCATCACAACGAAATGTTTGTTATCTTGCACCAGAAAGATTCTATGATCAAACAAGAATTAAAAGCGATATTAATAATGATACATTATCAACAAGTTTTGGAAAATTGGGTACAGCGGCCATGGATATTTTCTCGCTCGGGTGATTATAAACATATTTATGATATATATTGTGATAGAAATATAGTCATTAGTAGAAGAAATCTGATTTTACAAAAATTTACTGTCTACTTTGGATCTATCAAATGATTTTCTCATCAACAACTTTTAAGAATTGTATGATTTTCATTTAGTTGTGTATTTGCTGAATTATTTACTGAACAACCATTATTTACATTATCTCAAATGATGGATTATCGAACAAAATCTTATAATCCATATGAGATCATACATAAGATAAATGATGAAAATCTTTGTGTATGTTTTTAACAATAGATTATTTGTCTATTTTCCTTTTTGTTTCCCGAAGTGTTAGTAACAATGATTGTTTACTTTTCTTTATAGGATATGATTTCAAGTATGATTGATTTTGAACCATCGAAACGAAAAACAGCCGAACAATATCTTGAAGAACAATGTGGCAAAGCATTTCCAAAATGTTTTTATACATTTTTGTATCCCTATGTACACAATATGTTACATCATTTTTCACCAGATTTTGTTATATACAAGTAAGAAAATATTATTTTTATATAATATATCATTGATTAGATTCAGAGAATGATGTAATATTGTTTTACTTTAGATTGCATAAAGATTTTTCAATTGTCATGAGTAGTTTACTTGTTGATAATGATGAAACAGATGCATCAGAATTAGCACAACAAAATGAATCATCACAAGCATTAATTATTTTATTATCATTTGCATTAGCTTGTATGAGAAAATTAATGGTATGCCAACACTTTAAGTTCCTAAGATTTTAATGCTTGGTTTTGCGTCAACCTTATGAAAATAGAACATATGAGATCTCAATATGATTTTCTCACGCTCGAAAAAAATTATCTTTCGTTTTTAAAGTTTTTATAACTTAAATTTAAAATCAAAATTTGAAAAAAATTAATTTTACCAAAATTCCAGTTAGAAACCAAGGACCAAACATATTTAAGTTAGTCCATTAAGTTTGAGGAAGTTGAGACAGAACATGAGCTTAGATGGTGAAGAAAATCAGGAATGATTACGAAAATGAACCCGAAATTCCAGCAAAATATGACCTTTTGTTTTGTATCATCAGCAGCCTACAGTTAAAGCAATAATTTCTTCAATTGGCAATACTGCCAATGTCCATTTGAACGGACATTGGACTTTGAAGGGTTAATAAAATGATCTGTTTGACTACAAAAAATGGAAAGTGAACAGAAGAACTATATTAAAGATAAACTCAGAAAAGTCTAACTCTCTAAAAAAGAGTCTTACTCTCTACATTTACAGCGATGATATGATATTTTTCTCTTTTTTTCAGCATTTACACTCTCGTTTATCAGCGCTTGAACTTATTCGTCTGATAACACCATTAGTTGATGATCAAATTACGTTAGATCGTATATTACCCTACGTAGTATGTCTTACATTTAATTTTTAATAATTAGAATTTATTTCAATTATTGCTTTAGAATGCAATGTTACAAGATTCATATCATCGTGTACGAGCAGACGCTATTCGAACATTATTATTTTGTGTGAATTCTGTTACGTCTATTAATCAAGAGAACGCTGATTTGTTTAGTGAATATCTTTTTCCAACCTTAGTAAGAATCTATAGTTTACATAGATAATACGAATAATTTATCTTTGTATAAACTATGTTTAAGTCGTCATTAACTCTACCGAATGCTGATTGTTATGTTCGTTCAAGTTTGGCAAAAAATTTATCATCACTCGCTGAACATTCACTAAGGTAAGTTGATCAATATGATATTTCAAAAAAATAAAATTGTACATTTTTTCGATTAGATTTTTGGAAAAAACTTATCTACTCGAAGAACGAAACTATACAATGAATAATGACTATTTCGTAAGTAAAAGTAGTGTAAAAGTGTTGCATTGTTTCTTCCAATGTTGTATTTAATACATTTAGAAACTCTATGAAGAAGAACTCAAAAGTGTTCAAACATGGATGCAAGGTAAATTTGGCGATTTAATCCACGGTGATAACGAAGATCAATTGGCAGAAGTGGTCTGTCGCACAGATTTAATACGTTTATGCGCTTTTTTTGGAAAAAGAAAAAGTATTTCGAATACTATTTTCTTCTAATTATTTATTAATGTCTGGTTTTTTACTTTTTAGCTATTGAAGTTATTTGTGGACATTTAACAACATTATTAAGTCGACCAAATTGGCGTTTACGTGCCACATTATTCGATAGTCTTGTAACAGTTGCCGCTTATATTGGTCTCGAAAGTGAATTGTTTATTCGTCCGTTATTTGAACAAGTATTTTATTTGACACCATTCATTTGTTGACACAATAGAGTTTAATCGTTTTCATTTTGTAGGGATTAGTAGACGAAGAAGAATTTGTTGTTTATCGTGTGCTGAAAGCTCTCGCTTGTTTTGTTCGTTTATCATTGTTAAAACGTAAAACAATGTATGATTTTCTGGCTAATGTTTCCCCCATTGCTTGTCATCCGGTAGGTAGCAGCCTTATCAAACGTATAAGTGTAGTGAAACATTTAATTATTTTTCTTTAGAATTTGTGGTTAAGATTAGGAGTTATTGAGTTTATTAATAGTGTTTGTGAAAAATCTCATTTGGCTGATATTCATGGATTTGTAATACCTGTAATCGAACGATTTTTTAAATTTCCAATTATTCAAGTTGAAAATCCGGTAAATAATCTCATATCTCTCACATTATTGTAACTTATAATCGTTTTTTTGTTTAGGATATTCTGTATAATTCGCTTATTGAACCATTAGCACGTGATTTATTTGAATATGTTCAACAAATACAACCAAATGAAGGTTTATTCAAATATTTAACAGAACGTCAACATGTACGAAAAATGACAGGATCAGGAGCGAAACCGGCGTATACAGAATTGAATGATGGTCTTGTTAAAGATGTATGACAGATTATTTCTCAATTAGACAAAATAAAACTAAACTTTTTTGTATATTTTTAGGAATTTGAAAAATTATTAGATATGAAAATGAAAGAGGAAGACGAAGATAAAATTTTAGCATTGAAATTTTTTCTTAAACAAGCACCACAGAATAAACTAAGGTTTGTATGGACAAAAAAATATGCTATTCCAGTTGCCAGATACTCCAGACTCTTTCTTTCGTCAGAATAGTTGAATGGTTTACGTTATTAGTGTTTGTTTTCGTAAGCTATACTAAACTGTTTACCACTTTTGTCAAGCTTAGCGTGATAATATGTGAGTAACTATTTTTTGTAGTGATTATTTCTTCACTGAGGCGGACAAATCAGAATTCATTTGTATAACGATAAACATTATTTATTTTTGTTTGCTTAGTGTTAGTGTGTCGACTGAAGAAACTAAACGACCTGGTACAATTTTAATCAAACTTCCTCCAGCAAAACGTCATGAACTTGGTCTTGGAAGCAATCGTACAAATTTTAATAATAATTTAAACGCGTACGTTCGTTGTTCAATATTTTTATTTTTCTGTTGAAATAGAAAAATATTTTTATTCTTTCAGTTATTCAATGAGAAATAACAATGATGATAGTGTAAGTACGCTCTAATGATAAATATCTATGTGTTAGATAATAATAAATAATTTTAGTCTGATTGGTGTGAGATGTTTGGAGCACAAAGTCAACAATCTGAGAATGCATTAGTAAATAGTACAACAACCACAGATGCTAAACAATCACCACCTAAACAAGATCTTAGTCAAATTAATGAGACACAACAAGAATTGAATGAACAAGTTGTAGATCAAAATATATTAAGAACAATTCCAGCAGTACAACAACAGCAACAAATTTATCGGGCACGTTCATTCAATGAATCAAAAGTAAAACTTCGTCTTCATTGTATAACAGAAAAAAATAATTTATTATTGAGACAAGAAGCATTATATCGAGATGATTGTCAACGACAAAAATTGTTAAATAAAAGTGTTCCAACAAAATTATTTGAAATAACTGATAATGCACATTGGACTCCACAAGGCATTTTACTTGGACACGTTCATTTACACAATGGAAAAATAACAAGGTAAAGCACAATTTATGCTATTTATACTACTAAAGTGAATCATGACTTGACCATGTTACAATCTTTATTTTAAAAAAATCATCGTTTAGCTAATTTTACGTATCTGTTTTATTGTTTAAGATTAGCTTCCAGTCTTGTGTCGCCACCATCAACACAATATTATTATACACAATATTTTGCTACTGGTGATATTCAAGGTTCTATACGTCTATGGGATATAAATCAATTCCAAAAATGTCTTATATTTCGACCAACGAGAGCAATAAGAGGATCAAGTAAGATAACAACACTTTGTTTAACAACTGATCTGTTTATAGTAAAAAGTGTTGTTTTAGGCTCACCGATACGAGGTTTAGTATTTAGTTCTGATAGTAGTGCATTAAATTTAGCGTCTCTTAGTGAAAATGGCTATTTGAATATTTATGAGTATGTTTTTTTTAGTGAGAAAAAAACTCACTAATTCTTAATTTATATTTCTTTGAAACTTAGTTTAAATTCGTCAGCTGGTGATATTAAAGAACCATTTTATACAATGAAACTCGATGTACGTGATATTGGTGTACCAATTGATTTAAAATACTTTAACACCGGTTCTCAGGAAATATTAGCATTTGCAACATCTCAAGGACTCATTGTTGGTATAGATAATCGTTGTACAGTGCCAATATTTAAATTTAAAAATGATCTTAATCATCGTATGTTATTCCAGTATAAAACAACAATCGGATTTATAAAATTCTGTCTAAGATTTTAGGACTTATTACAGCATTAGAAGTAGATGAATTACAATCTTGGCTAGCTGTTGGTACTGGTAGTGGATTTATTGATTGTTGGGATTTAAGATTTCAATTGTGTATTCAGGGCATGCAACATCCAACTGGTACGTAGGAAAAAAATTCAGCAATATACAATAATTTTAACAAATAATTGTGTTCTAGGAGCTCGTGTTATTAGTTTATTACGACACCAAGATCAACGAAGTTCATTAATTAGTTCATTTCAAGGGAATAATGAAATATCAATATGGAATATTGAACATCCAAAATCAAGACAAAAAGTTTTTTGGCCTTGTGTGGCAACCCCACTATCATTATCTCAAGTAATTGATATTGTAATAATTTTTCTCTTTTTCACTTATATTTTCGTTTTGAACAGTCGATCAATCATTACATTCAAGCAATGTATTTATACAAAAATGATCGTACGACATCATTATTATGCGCCGGCACTGATATGCGAATAAGAAATTGGAATTTAACTGATCCAAGTCAATCGTTTATTGTTACTCGTGGACCAGATGATAATGAAGCAATGATAGCAAACTATCGGTAAGACTGCTTCAATGTTCATTTTCTTCTCGATATTATCTGAATTCTAACATATATTTAATAAGATCAATTTTAAATCGAATAAATATTAACCTCTTGCCATATTTAGACAGAGACCAATTGATGGTGTTGAAGTAACAATTGAAGAATATCATCACCGAAAACCAGGAGCAACAGCCTCGTCGTCTTCTTCCTCATCACCTACGGATAATCAAATGAAATCAACAAAATCAAATTTATTTAATGTATCCGTTGCTCACACAGACAGCATCACAGATATGTCTATCTGTTTGACAAAAGAACGAGTACCACATCTCGTAACTGTTTCAGCTGATGCTGTTGTTAAATTATGGAAATAGAATGAAAAAAATCCACCGCGAATGATTCATTCCGTGTATTTTTTATACTAACCCATTTTTCTTTTTGCTGCTATTTATTTATTTATTTTTCATCCTTCCAAAAGTTTTCGTGTACATCTTTTGTTTTCTATAAACTTACGCATTCCATGTTTGTAATTTATCACACTTCTTTTATATATTATTATTTTTTGAATCAATCAGTTTAAGTTTAAAAGAAAGTGATCATTACTAAAGAACGTCTAATAATCACACAATATATTTTGAAATCTCGTGTTAGTAGATTGAACTGCTTGTGCTTAATATTCACCACATTCATTTTGCTAAGTTATGAGATGTTGAATTGTTCAAAATTAAACTGAATGAAATATTATTTGCCACAAGTCTTTCTTTCAAACTAGTCTTTTGTTTATAAAATAAACTGTCATTTTTTTTTCTCTATCCTGCTCTATTCTGTCACGAAATAGTCAGATGAATTATGTATTCACTTTCTCTCTCGTTCTAAATAACACAAGTGACAACAAGAAAAGAACTGTTTCTTTTCCCGTGTAAATCTTTTTTCTTGCGGACTTATTATGTCTTTTATTTGTGTGGCTGTGTGTTTTTATTACATTTTTTAAAATAAATCAAGAAAACAAATGGAATTGATGGTAGTTTTGATAAGACCATGATTCTACGTGTTGTAATATTGTGCACGTCGGTAGACTCTTATTATTTACAGTAAAAGTCTTTCTTGAAGTAATAGTTAATTTTTTAAATCAATTAATGAAAATAGCAACAGAATGCAAAAATTAAATTAAGTGTTTACGCTTGGTAACATATGAATTTATGAACTGTGTTGTTGTTTGTCGTTGTCATTTTGAGTAAGATTGTCAACATATGTCATACTATTTACCGTACCTTCATGAGGAGGGTAAATATCTGTATTACTGATGAACAGTATGATCAAGTGCTGGTGAGCAAATTCATAACAGACATATTTCATCTGATTCTGTTGAAGATGGTCGTAGATTATATCTCGCATAAAAATTGCATGCGTTAGATAAACTAGTTAACAACAGCAAATTAATGATGAGTCGTTGATATAATAGTTCAACGCTTAGATTCTTTTCATTTATAGTACTAATCCACTTTCTGGAAAGACCATAAAAAACTGCAAGGACCTATATGTCTAAGTGTCAACTCACATTTGAACAGAACCGCAGTAGGCAAACGATTAGATTCATTTTGTGTGAAATGTAGCCTTTTTTGCCATATGAACATTTTTCAGACACAGTGATGTGTCTTTCAATGTAATTGAAGAAAAGAAATTCTTCGATGTCCCAAGAAAGGAAACGATTTTGATAAAATGAGAGTTGATCTTTTAAAAAACTAAATATGTTACTTGTTTAAATCCTATATTTTTTGTCGAAAATTTTCGGAGCCAAAAAACTCGCCTTGTTCTTTTTGAAAATCGATCAAAAAAGCCCGAAAACGTTTAATAACTCGGTCGGATAATATCCATAGGGCTTAAAAATTTCAGGATATATATTTTAATGTCTTCTACAAACGGAAAAAGTTTGAGTGAAATCTAGATGGGGGGATCTCTCATAATAAGTTTTAAACCTTTATTCGCCAGAACTAAAGCTTTTTTCGTTGAGTTGAACACCGTAAAAAAATCCTCTTTTGTGTTTCAAAATGACGTTAAAGAGGGATCCACCCTCCTCCTGGTATTTGGATATGTTGTACAGTTCGATGGGTCACGCCGCAATAACCCCCTTTATGGGGTCACAAACGTAAAAAAAGTGATCAAAATTGAGTTACAACATTTTTGTCTCATTTTCAAAATTTTCTTTTATATATTTTAAATTTAAACCCTTTTAAAATTTAACCCCTCCCCCACACACAGTCAGGCATTGCGCACATTTTCTGTAGCAAGACTTGTCTTTTTTTAAACAGTTGAATTTTTATTAAAAAAATAGAGCAAATCACAAGGCTTTTACTCCATAATGCTTCGTTATTGCAAGATCTTTGACAAGAGTTCCACACTGCAGTTAAGGAGTGGCTCCGTACACCTTATATGTGCCCTCAAACTATGTCAGTTTGAAGAGGACGATTGAATTTAAATTTGAAGGATTGTCGCATGGTGGCTAGATAGCCCAATGTGTTCTCTGCAATTCTGTGCAAGGCCGACCTGTCTACTGTTTTGGTTCGCAAATGACATGCATTTACCCGACGAAACAGTAACGAATTTTGGGTGGCTCAGGAAAATCCCTGCCATTCGAGAACCGCAACAATTAGAAAGGTCGACCTTGCGCAGAATTGTAGAAAACACTTTGGGCTATCTAGTCACCATATTGAAATTAAAAATCCACCGTAAGTTCAGAATCTGGCAACCTCATCGCTTTTCATCCGTCAGGTACACCACCTGAAAAACCGAGACTTTTAGCACAAAATCTATGTAAGATAGAGTAAAGCCTTCTCTAAAAAATGCTGAAAACTCGAACTCTCTATCTCTTTTCATTCTCGAGTTATTCTAGAAAAATTCACGGCCGTTTAGAAATCCATAGTAGAAACCCCGTTTACCTAAAACCGAGTACAAATAACTGCTTATCGGTAACATTTTGAAAAGGCAAATACAGGAATTTGTAATGTTTGGAAATCTCTGTCGAATGACGTATTGCTTTACCGTTTCTAATAAACCGTTAATTTGCAAATAAAAGGGTAAAGCACCAATATTAAGTGATATTAATTAGTATTCATTAGCATTGATTAGTGATAAATTATCGTCTAAAAAAAAAGTTTTTTCATCAGACCATAATAACAGACCATTGGCTATCAAGCAATGCATGAATGACTCTTTTCTACGATTATTTCTGAGTAAACTACAAGTTTTTTAAAATGAGATGTAGAACTTTAAATTTTAATTAAAATTTAAAATTAATTAATTAGTAACTCTGTCAATAGTTATCAGTTCATCGGACGAACTTAAGGATATATGTAATCAGGAGTCCTTTTTAAACTAACATAGTTTGATGGCACATATTTGGGGGGAAGGATCCCCTCCTTAAATGAATTTAATAAGAGAAAAAACATGGAAAAAAAGGTAGTGAAACCTATCAGAGGCGAAATCTAATTTTACGTAACAGAAAATTAAAAAGCTTTTTTAGCAATTTGAACCACGTTTAGATACTTTTCTTTTTAAAACTCTCTCACAACAATAAGAAAAGAATCTGATTATAATATAAACAAAAAACAACCATAGAAGATTGTGTCTTTTACAATAGAAAGTGGTTTATTTTTCCAAGTATAAACCGCTTTCTATTAAAATAAAAACTGGATAAATTTGAACCAACCAGAGAAATGTATGAATTCACTAATATTCCTAGAAAAAACAAAGAAAACTATGAGAGAAATCCTGAATCGACCATTTTGTGGCTCATATACTCTTCTAGATTAACGCTATTCCATTAGGCTGTACTACCGAGTTATAAAGACCAACAGTTCACATATGGTCGATATATATCTCTCATTTCTGAAAGTCGCGTGCCTCCAGGATACGGTCGCTCGAGCTCGATCGCATAGTTTTAGGTAGAAGAGATAATGCTCTCTGAGCTTTCAAAAATATATACCGAATTTGGATTTTGAATTAATTCTGATAGAAAACGATTCAACGTTTGCGGCTTTTCTAAAGAAAATGGAATATTTTGGCTCGAATCGACCACCGCTGGAGAAAAACCCTTTCTTTCCGTCTAGCATTACATATCCCGGCCTACTGAGCACTAATCTGTGAGCAAAAACTTTTTTGATGATTAATAAACTACTGAGATCAGCATACTACAAAAAGCACAAGTATTTAAACCTCTGACTTCCAGTTAACAGGCAAATTTTGAGAAAAATCAAGTTTTATTTAAGAATTTAAAAGTATTAAAAAACTTCAAACTCAATTTTCCTCAAAACGGTTACAGTAAAAGATTATTACACTCAGTATCCATTTGATATCCAAAGAGATTTATCAGCAAAACTTTGTTTTTCCACAATTTTTTTCCATCAAGCTTAATTGAATCACAATCTGTGGCAAGATTTTTAAAAAATACTAGTTTTCTCAAAAAACGACATTTGAAGAAAAGCAAAACTTTTGTTAATTAAATTCATTCAAAACTCGCTAAAACTTTTAGAGACTGGGATTTTAACAATCCAAAAGTATTGCCTAACAAGTTCAAATTTTCAGAATTTGTAGAAGTCTCTTACGAAGACGTTTTTCAGAATTTCTTTTCTTGATCTTTCAATTAAATTTAACGGTTTAAAGTTTTAAAACTTCGTATTTCTGAACTTTAAAAGCAAAGAAAGAAAAAGCCTCAAGCGAGAACTCCTGAGTTCGATTCTGAACAACTTTTACGCCCACATAGTTGCTCTGAAATACTTCCTTCAAGCGAAAAGATACACTTTTAGCCGCAAAATCCCATTAGAAAGGTAAAAGTTAATTTTTTGC